GTTCTGCAATTCCAGCTCAGTCTGTGGCTCTGAGCCAGTCCCAGAAACTCCAGTAAAACTTCACTTTCCTATAGCATCCTTAGAATTGTCGTCAGAGCCAAACATCCATCATGGGCCATGTGTTCCAGGAAGGAGACCTGCATCATGGTGGACCACCAAGGGCTCGCCCAAAGAAGGTGCTGCTCTGGGTTTAACCATCAGCCAGCTTGGAAAGGGAGGTGTATTTAAGGGCTAAGACCATTTCAAAACACATCTCACTGAAGTCAGGTAGCTCTTTCTGGAATCAACTTGGCCATAGCTAACTACAACTATTAGAATGTTCATGTCTTTTGATGATTGGCTTCACTGCTACGAAATTATCTTAAGAGAATAAATTTATATCCCAAGACAGTTACATTTTATATTGCTTACAACTTCAAAGATATTGAAATTCCCAATCAAGTAATGACTACATTACATTATGGTTACATTGTGGAAATGTTATGAGATGGAATGAAATGCCTTGCAAAGACCTGAAACAGCACAGTTCTAAAGTCATGGGGAAACATATTGTATACTTATGACTTCATAAAGAATTACATGTAGATTTAAAATGAATAATAGACATATAACTAAATGCAACAGATTTCTGATTTAGTGGGGAAATGTTAGATGCCTTGGGATTGGAGTTACAGCAGCTGGGAGCTCTCTGACATGGGTTCTGGGAACCGAACCTGCATCTTCTGCAAGAGCACTGTGTACTCTCAACCTCTAAGCCATCTCTCTGGCCCCTGTGAATGATTTTTTATGCTTTTATACATAGTTCTATATAGTGATACATTATTTATGATTTATTAAAGCTTGCCAGAGGGTTCAGAATGCAAAGCTAGCCACAAGCCATAGAGGCCAGGCAATAGTGGTACACACCTTTAATCCCAGCAGCCATACTAGCTAGCCAGGCAGTGGTGGCATACATCTTTAATCCCAGGACTCAGGAGACAGGCAGATGGATCTCTCTTAGTTCAAGGCCAACTTGGCCTACAAAAGAGTGAAGAGTAACAGAGCTAACACCTTTGACCCCAAAACTTGGGACCACACGCCTTTAATCCCAGCACTAGGGAGGTGGAGACAGGAGTGATATGGCTGGGTGGAGAAAGGAATAAAAGGAGGAGGAGGAGACAGGAAGTGAGAGCTTTTGCCTCCGAGGATTCGTGGAGACGGGATTGCCATTTCAGCTGGGTAGAGGTAAGACCTACTGGCTTGGCTGCTTTGCTTCTCTGAACTTCAGCTTGAAGTTTGAATGCCAGTATCAGTCTCTGGGTTTTTATTATTCGTGTTACAGTTCGAAGTTTTCTATAATGAATGCATATGCCACTTACATTCCCTGAAGAATATAGTTTTAAAAGTTGTTTCTTTTATGTGGTGACTTGAAGTCATCATTCCTAGGAAATAACAACCTTTTCAGCATGACTCTACCCTACCTGACATCAGCTGTCACCTTGACATAACCCAGAGTGACTTGGGAATTGCCTAGATCAGACTGGCCTGTGGCCATATCCTTAGGACATTTTCCTAATCACTCATTGATGTAGGAGGGCCCAGCCCACTGTGGGCAATATTCTCTCCTGAGCAGGTAGCCTGGGTTGGATAAGAAGGACTGAGCAACCCAAAGGGAGCAAGCCACTGGGCAGCATTGCTCTGCTTCGCTTCCTGTCCAGACAAACCCTTCAGTGACAGACTATGACATGGAAGGTAAGCCAAATCCTTTCGCCGCCCCCCACCCCTCCAGCTTGGATTTGGTCAGTGTTTTATCACAGCAATGGAAAACAAGCCAGGACAAAGAACTTGGGAACTGGAGAAGCTGTGGATGATGGGGCAGAAGATGGGTTGTGGTGTTTTCCAGCCAAACGCTAGGGGTGGAAGTAGGAGCAGTGGGGCAAAGGCACTGAGCCAATGTTCTCTGTGGGTGAGGGAGGCCACCTCCTGTCTAGAAGGGAAGGTTGTTGTGTTCTTTCCTGTGCCGTTTTCTTCTGAAATGGATCAACAGGGAGCAGGGCAAACTTAAAAGCCTTAAATACGGAGGAGTGAAGTCAACAGGTATCCTGGGAATTGCTGCTTGGGGCAGGGTCACGAAGGCGTATGGCTTGTCCTTAAGGATTTGATGTCTTCTGCTTCTAAAGATCAGCTGTTTCCAAGTCCCAACTGGAACTGCATCCACCAGGTTTGAATTACCACAAAACAAGTAAGGTAACAAGCTTCATAGAGAAAGGTTAACTCACCTCACAGTTTGGGCATTCCAGGGCATGGCGCCTGGTAATAGCACTGTAGCAGGAGCCTGTGTCAAGTGGAGCAGGCAGTCACATCCTGAGGCGGGGAGCAGAGAGGATGGGAGAGTCCCTGAATCCCTTTCTGAGCATCTCTCCCAACGACCTAAAAATCTCTCAAGCTCACATCCTAAGCGTTCACCTGGAGGACCAAACATATGGGCCTTTGGTGCACAGATATCCAGACCATAGCAGGAGCCAGTGGTAGCCTTGTGCTGACACAGTCACAGTGTAACCTAGTGTCCCTGTTTCTTTTTTGTAGTTGGCAGACAGCCTCTGTGATGGCTCCACTAAAGAGGCAGAAACGTTCTTTTCAGGGAGCATACATTTCTAATTGGAGAATGGCCACACTGAGGTTGCCCTGGCTGAATTCACTCCGGGGCTCTCTGCTCAATACTGGCAGTTAGGATTTAATCAGCAAACCCAGGTGAGTGGCTGTTCTCCATGTTGTTATTACAGGATGGAGGGGGAAAAAAATCACTGAGATTAGTCAATACAGAACCGTCAGAGCTGGAGAGACTGTTTAGTGATTAAGAGCACTTGTTGCCTTTCCAGAGGATTTGATTCCCAGGGCCTACGTGGCAGCTCACAGCCATCTGTAAAATATAACTCTAGTTCCAGAGGATCTGACACATTTTTCTGGCATCAGCAGGCACTGTATGTACGTGGTGCACAGACATGTATACAGGAAAAAACACAGATACACATAAAAGTAAGGAAATACTTAAAAAGAAATAGCTGTCTAGTTGAGTCTGCATACAGCTCACAAGTGTGCAGCACTACTGAGTCACAACCTCACGGATCCTGTCTTCGTAACAGTGAGAACTGAGGGAGAGAGATCATACATGTTGTTAGGACCTGATGATGGTGGCAGCAGTGAGGAGCTTCCAGCACGTGCAAGACCACCACTGAGGATTTTTTTTCATCTGAAAATCAATGTATTATGATGTACCTGACTTACAGTCAAGCAATTCAGGCTAAAAGTCGACAAAGCATCCCCAAAGATGACCACTCGGGTCCCGTTAAGTACCTGCTGTGGTAGGGAACTGGCTGCCTCTGCAGAATGCTCCAGCCGTGTATGGCTTGGTGGAAAGCATACGCAAGAGGACGGTGGTACGAAGAATACAACAAAACAAGTGATTCAAATTCAGAAGGGGAGAACATATAGCTCGAAAGATACTGTTAAAGGATCATTATACCCAGTTTTTCTTATTATACCCAATGTAGTGGTTTGAAAGAAAATGGCCCCCAAAGGGAGTTGCACTATAGCAGGGGTGGCCTTGTTGGAGTAGGTGTGGCCTTGTTGGGGGAAGTCTATCAGCGTGGGGGTAGGCTTTGAGGCCTTTTTCTCAAGCTTCACTCAGTGTGACAGTTCAGTTGACTTCCTGTTGCTTATAAATTGTAGGACTCTCAGCTACTCCAGATCCTCTTCATCCTGCATGCCACCATGCCCCCTGTCAGGACAATAATGGGCTAATGCTCTGAAACTGGAAGCAAGCTCCCTCAATTAAATGTTTTCCTTGTAAGATTTGCTGTGTTTATGGTGTCTCCTCATAGCAATAGAAACCCAAACTAAGACACCCAGTATTTCTTTTTTTCCCTAGCAAAGATTAGAAGATACAGAAACTGCTTGCAGCGTCTTTGTTAGCACAAGTGGGTCAGAGGGTAATAATGCTCTTCTGTTGTATCATGTATTCTTTTGTAGATAATGTAAAAGTGATTTCTCCTTCTTGTTGGGTCCTGTTGGCTTTCCATAACAACTTTAGTCATCAAATGGGCTAGACAGCTTGATGGATACACATGAGGATCTGAGTTTGGATCTCCAGCACCTGTCTAAAAGCTAGGCACGTATCTGTAACCCTAGCGCTGTGGGGTTCACAGATGGAAGGATCCTGAAGAGATTTGCTGGGCATTCAAGCCCAGTCAAAATGTTGAGCTCTGGGTTCAGTGAAAGACCTTGTCTCAAAAACTTAGGTGGAAAGTGATGGAGGGAGATGCTGAGCCCTGGCCTCTGTATACATGCCCAAAGATGCACAGAGCTTCACTTTCTCTTACCATCTCTACTAGATGGCTTGTGTTTTCAATGAATTCACAGTCATAATTTAGACTTAGTTGGTAGGAGTCTGGTCAAGGCAAGGATTGGGAAGCCAGTGAGGCTCGTTAATTAATGGTTTTAGTAGCTCAATTTGTTAGTTCCTATTTTATGAATAGTATATGTCTCTCTGGTTGAAGTGCATGTCTCCTAAGGGCAGGACTGACCTATTAAACTTCACTGTAGTTCACACACTGAGCACACAGATAACCTCTTAGCATGTGCTCAATAATTATCTGTAGAGAACTGTGTTGCAGATGACACCTTGCGCAGGTGCTGAGGAGTTAATATAATGAGCAGTGCTCATCAGGCCTTGGTTTTCCTTGCCTGTAAAACATAACTTGAAGAGTGAATTGCATTTATTTAATCCCATGAACTGTAGCAATTTAACATTTTAAAGTTTTGTGCTCTAACCAAGTTTTTCTTTTTATTCATAAAGTGCTCTAAACAAGTTTTTCTTTTTAGCAATTGGTAAAAAATGTTCTCTTAAAGGCATTTCTTTTCTTTCTTTCTTTTTTTCAAGACAGGGTTTCTCTGTGGCTTTGGAGGCTGTCCTGGAACTAGTTCTTGTAGCCAGGCTGGTCTCGAACTCACAGAGATCCACCTGCCTCTGCCTCCCGAGTGCTGGGAGCATTTATTTTCTTAGTGGAAAAAATAATATTAACAAAAACATTGTATACATGTTTGATTAACAATTTGTTCATTTTCTTCAACAAATAAAATACATGTGTGGCACCAAATGAGATTGGTTTTTGAATGTGTGCTGATGGTGTCTTGACTTTGGGAGGTGTGCTGGGCTCTTGGTGCTTTCTTGCTGTGTAGGGTTAGTGCTCAAGACAACCATTCAGGCTGACAGATCCCTGGACTTCTGTGGCTTCGGTGATGGGGACAGGGATGTGGTTGACTTGAATATTCTTCAGGCAGCCAAAAAATGAGTTCCACACAGGAAGCCTAAGCATTTTTAATTTGTCTGAAAGAGAAAAGGAAGAGGTACTTGATGGATAGCTCATGCCATGAAACAAATGCCCCTGAGTGTTAAGAATATTATTAGACAGAGACAAAGAGACACCATGGCTCCGCCCACCTGACTGCTTCCAGACTTCCTGCCCGTGGTACACCAGCAACAAAGCTGTTCTTTGCCTCTGGAGAAGGAACTTCCACAGCCCGAATCAATAGATAAAACTCTCAACTCTGCTACCTTTTATGGGTTATAAAAGGACTATAAAATTAACAAGCAGACTACCAGGAAGGACATAAAACAAGAAAGAAATAAAAGGCCCCTTTCCAGGCAACATTTCAGTCTTTGTGTGTGATTCCATCTCAACCTGCCCTGTTCTTCCACTTGGCTTCAACAGTCAACTCAATGCCTGGGGAAGGGAGACCATTATTTTTCATCAACTTACTTGACTGTTTGCTGACATAGGCTTCTGGTCTAATGGAGTCTCTTAAGGAAGGATTATAAATGACAGGCTTGGGACCAGGGGGAGCAGTAGTCATGTGGCCTGCACTTCCCTGATATGTGCCCAGATGCTGAGGTAAAGTACCTTGCCACCTCCACTGTACGCCCAGGTCTGCCCTTGCCTATACACATGTGTTAGTGCACCTTAGCTGTTGGGTTAAGAAGAAAATATCAGGAGCTGCTGGGGTGTAACACAGGTGTAGAAGTTGGGGCTAGAGTTACTGACCTGGGACACCTCCAATGTGTAGTGACCCTCGGGTGTTGTTAGATGGGAAGGAAAGCTGCCCAGCTGTGTAGCTACTGTATGTATCCAGCTCCAGGTGCAGGACGTGCTGTTTAATGGAGACTAGAAGAAAGAAGGTGGTTAGGTCTGTCACCGAGGAGAGGCCTCCGTCCCACTCTTGTGTCACCCTTGTCTTTGAACTCATTCCCACTGGACCCTTGGGGGAACTGTTTGAAGGCATTTGGTCAGCCTTGGGTAGAAATGCAACACACCACTCAATAGCAGCCAGGGTTTGGTGTTCTATAGACATTCCTAAATTGAACCCCTAAACTGGACCTGTGGGCTGAGGAGATAACAAAGTTGGAAAACTGCCTGCCTAGCAAGTGTAAGGACATGAGTTCAAGCACTCAGATTCTACCTAAAAGCAAAGTGCTAAATATGGTTGTGCTTTTGCAATCCCAGTGCCAGGGAGGCAGAGACAGGCAGATCCCTGGGGCTCACTCACCAGCCAGCTAAGACTACTCAGTAAACTCCAGGCAGATAAGACCCTGACTCAAAAACCAAGGTGGTTAGTACCTGAGGAATGAAAGCACTTTGGCCTTTGGCTTCCACAGGCATGTGCATTCACATATGCCTGCATACACTGTGAATCTGCAAAGACTACATCTCCACACTGCTCATTGAGACACTCACTGAAGGCTGAGCAGAGGTGGCACTAAAGAGATGAAACCCAAACTCTGGTCTCATGTCTCCAGAAGCTCTGTTCACGTGATCCGACCCCAGCCATGTTCACAACATCTGACCCTAGCCAAGTTCACGTGATCTGACTTCAGCCATGTTCAGTCTGTAAAAACTTTGACCCTCAACACAAAAGCCCTCTTATCTTGATAACTGTATCTAACTGAAAGATAGTTGGCTTTCAAATTAACGGAGAAAGGACTGCTTCTTATAAAAAGGTGTTTTAGCCAGTCCAGGCTCAGTTATTTCTACACTTTATCTTAGCCAAAAGGGCAAGGAGATATAAAATTTGTTTGTTTATTGCTTATTTACTTGTTGACAGGGTCTCATACTGGCTTCAAACTTACTATGCATCTCAAGGTGACCTTGAACTTTTGACACCTAACCCTAATGGTCTTTCTCCTTCTTAGCGCTGTGACCACAGGGGCAGTGCCATGCATGGTTTATGGGGATACACCCCAGCTTCAGGCTCATATATCTCTAAGCAACACCCACACATTGATGTGTTCTTTCCACCATTGTTCTGTTTGAATACTTTGGATTAATATTGAATAATTATTGAGAAAATAACAATGATCCTTAAAAACCCAACACTAAACCTGGATGTTTACTGGATGCTCATTGTAGACAGATGGAAACCAAGCACTTAACGCATTATCTTCATTTTACAAAGGAGAACACAGTGGTAAGGAGTGTGTAAATAATTTGCCCATAGTAAGGGATGGAACTTTAAGGTAGTTTCTCTTTTTTAAAGTGTGTGTGTGTGTGTGTGTGTGTGTGTGTGTGTGTGTGTGTGTGTGTGTGTGAGTGCAGTGCCTGAGAAGCCAGAAGAGGGCACAAATTTCCAGGATCTTGAGATGCAGATACTTGTGATCCACCCAATGTGGGTTCTAGAAATCACACTCAGATCATCTAGAAGATCAAGAAGTGCTCCTACAGATAAGACAGACTGACTTATCTGTCTCTATCCCCAGAAACTCCTTGTTGTTACCAAGGAGTTCAGAGCTAAACCCCAAACCACAATGTTATTACTACTTTAAACACTGGGCAGGGCTGGGCTGAAGAAAATTCTCCACCAAGCTACTATACCCCAAACTCAGCACCTGTGGGAAACTAGAGGCAAGAGCCATAAAATAAGCATGGTTGGGTTGAAAACAGATATGGAAACTGGAGACAGGGCTGGCTATAGTACCTAGTCCAGTCCAACCCTTCCGGTGGATGGACTGACTGGCTTTGAGATGTTCAAAGGATTTCCCTGTATGTACCAAGGGTTACCAGTACCATACCTGCCACTGAGTGCCACTGTCCATCACACAGAGACTGCTTTGGTGTGATGGACGCCAAGGTCCCACCTGCTTCACTCTCCATAGAGGCTGTGACCTGAAACACACATACATTTGGCTCTTTCCTTCAGAAGGGCATGTGGAGCCACCTTTCCCTGTCATTTCCCTGGAAGCATGCTAGAGGTTAGCCCCCTGACTCCTGTACCAGGTAACCACATAATGCCCAGAGTTTCCCAACAATTCCTCTCTCACACTCCTTCCAGGCAAACATACCAAACTGTAAATTCATGTCCTGCCTAGAACTGCTGGCAGCAGCAATGGGCTTTCCTAACCCCTCCTCCCTCAGCCCTCAGAGCTTACTGACAAATATCCATCACTGTCCTAATATGCAGCAGTGACTCTGCTGACAAAGACACCTGAAATTTGGAAGTCCAAAATGCTGGCGGATGTTGCTGCAAGAACCAGCCAATTCTAGTCTCCCCCCACCAAGTACAGTGCAGATCACAGGGCTCTCATCCAGGACATTAAGTTGCAAATTGTATTGAACAAGGTATGTGTCATTGGGACAAGGAGCTTGGGACACTGTACGCAGAATCCCACCTTCCTGCTCTGTAGGCTGGGGACTCCTCCAAGATCTTCCAAGGGTTGAGTCATGGTGAGTAAAATGAGAAGGCCTAAATAAGGGTATTTATAAATAATGTACATCTGATTTGCCCGTAGCTACATGCAGGCCACTCACAAGCAGGTTTTGAGCTAACCAATGTCCCTGCAGCTATGAAGGTCACCAAGTCTTGATTTTGTTTTCTTGACATCACTTCCTTTCTGGAGGTGGTCAATGAAGCCCCTCCCACAAGCCCTCCTCTGAAATGCCAGCCCCATATGCTCACACAGGCAGTTGCTGCTTTGTGTGCGTGACTGGAGACTCACACTGGCTTAACGTCTACACTTCAGCATGAGTAAGCATCTATGGGCAGTTGGTTGCTGGGAAAGGAATGTCTTTGTCCTCAGGGGTGTAGGTCCTGGCAAATTGCCTGTGCTCCTGCAAATGACCCTCACCCAGATGTCAGTGAGCAAAATCAGCTGAACTTGCTGAGCCCCCCAAAAAAGATAAAGTAGAAGGGGGGAGTGGGAAGAGCCCAGAGAGAATCATGGGTAAATATGTTCACACACAGAAATGTGGCAAGGAAACCCATTATTGTGTATAATTATCATATAATTATATGCTTATATAGTAAAAACTTTAAAAACATGTCATAGTGGCTGGGCCAGGAGTGTGGCACTGAAATAGACTCCTTGAATAGAGTGTGAGGGATTCTGTGTTTGAGTCCTAGAAATAGAAATAAAAGTATTCTAGGAGTTTGAGCCATTTTATTGTCACCTGGGACATTCTCCCCCATTTTTAATAAATTGTAGAAGGCTAAATGAAAGAAAATGGGGCAACATTCATTTTCGACTCAAGGCTTAGCAACAGAGAAGATTCCTGAAGAATTTCATTTTAAAGATATAAAATGTGGTTGTTGAAAATAGAATATCGACCTGGACCTGTGAGTGATAGGAACATAAGACAGCAAAAGCACTAATGGAGAGAGGATCCATGAAAAGCCAAGGGAGAGATGCTATGGGAGTCAGTGAGCAGCTTAGACACAGAGACCACAGCACAAAAACTCAGAGCAAGAACAAAGGGTCCAGAGTGGATTCCATGGGCTCAGGGCCCTAGAAATGGCTGTGACTTGATGCAGACATGGAGGGTGAAGTAAAGGAGGGATGTAGGCATGGGTGGGGTATGTGGCATTTCCTCTACTCTTAACAAAAGCTGTAGAATTGAGAATTAGCTACATTTGTCTGCAGCCACAATACCCTGAATGTACCCAATCTTGTCTGACCTCAGAAGTGAGCAACGTCTGGTCCGATTAGTACCCAGAGGGTATTGTCTATATTTTGTCTATATTTTATTGCTTTTGTCTATATTTTATAGATACTGACACTGGGTCTGAAGGAATTTGAGCAGCTTCCCCAGGACCCTATAACTAAATGGTGTCTCTAGATTTCAGCTCAATTTGTTTGACATTTCAAAATTTTAAAGAGGAAGCAGAGGAACTATGATAACATGACTTGTTAATAAAAAAAAATGGCAAGTTAGTCTCCAAACCAGTTCCGTTATGTATAACATTGGATTCCATCTGTACCCTAGCTTCAGACTTACTGCGTCTCTGTTGGTAGAATCTGGCTCCCTCTCCCCTCCCATGTAAGCATACCTTTCCCGCCTCCATGGAGACACTTAAGTGCTGGCCTGATTGGCTTCCAATGTGTATTAAGGTCCCAGTGAGACTCCTTGGGCGAATGCTGAAAATGAGCTGAAACTCTGGCCCCAGGGACACAGAATTGGCTTCCAAAGGAAAGAACAAGAAATGGTTAAAACACCATAATTAGGAGAGAAGATAGAGTTCTTCAGACTTACAGACATGAACTCTGCCAATTTTTCTTACCCAGGACCACATGGCCTCCTCCTTGGGAGAAATAAATGCCTTTCTCCAAAGAGCCACCTGAGCAGGGAGACACCCCAAAGCTTGCAGAGGGGGAATCCAGGGGTTTTGAGTTCAACTGGAAGTTCCTCAGGCACCCCACAAAGCTGTGCTGGGGGAGGCTCTATAAAAAAGCAGAGGATAAAGAGTTCATGGTGGGTAACTCCCACGAAGGCCAAGGTGAAGGGCATGAGGCATACCAGAGACTTGTGAGTGTGAAGTTTGAAGGGGTCACTTAACCAAATGCTGGGGGTGGGGTGCAAGTTGCTAGTGTGTGCTCAAGTAAGAACTAGGAGGTCAACATGACGCTGGCTCACGCAGACTGAGCTCACGCAGACACAGGGAAGATTTCACCTTACAGTTTATATATCTCATCATTCTTTGTAGGCGTGAACTATTTCTTAGTGCTTTGTGAGACAGCGTGATAGCTTAATGCCAGGCAGCTGACTGAAAAACAGGGCCAAAATGTTCCCTAAATAATAAAGTACAAGATGGCTCTCTATCTCGTTAGGTTTGGTGTACTTCCAATAAACCACAAATGCCGTGAAGTCCAAACCTCATCAGTACCTTTGTTCCCAGTCTGGATCCAGGTTTCCAAGGAGTCACAATATCTTGTAGTATATAGAAGATGTTCACTGTGTGCCCATCCCACCCTCTGGCGAAAGCACTGTAGCACATTTACCAAGTTCACAAAACATTCCTGAAATCCCCAATTTTTTACAGGTAATTTTAAGGGAGCATGGTGACACAGTGACTTTAGAGATCCATGTGATGCTGGTGGCAAGTGGCCGGCAAGCCCTCCTCATAAATTAGCTTTTATTTAATATTGTCACCTTGACAGGATCTGGAATCGTCTAATAGAGAGGCCATTGGACATGCCTGTAAGGGAGTTTCTAGATTGGTTAATTGAGGTTGGAAATCCACTCTAAATGTAGGTCACACCTCCCCGTGGGCTGAGATCTTCACCCAATAGAACCCTAGCTGCTTCACTGTTCACCTGTGTCTAGCTGTGAGTGGGACGGACCAGTCATTTCACACTCTTGCCACCACAACGACTGTACCTTAGAACCCTGAGCCAGAACAAACCCTCCCTTGCCAAGTTGCTATTGTCATATTGTCACAGTAATGGGGCAGTGTCTTGGCACATTTACTCACATTTATCATGCTAGATAACTGAATTTTGTATCTGAAACCAAGTGCAGACACCACAGGCCAGGCTGTGATGCAACTGCAAACTCCAAGGGCTAGCTGCAGTTCTGCTGTTCAGCACCACAGCTGGGTTTTATATTCTTACAGTTTGGATCTTAAAGGTCCCAAAGGCCATGCTAAAAGTCTGCCTATGACATTACTGGAAGGCTGTGTATCCTTTAGGAGGCAATGGGGCCACTGCTGGCAGGCTCATCCAAGGGGATACTGGGGTCTTGCTTCCTGGCCACTAGAAGGCAAGTAGCTTTGCCCTGTTAGACATTCCCTGCTGTGATGCCCTGCCTTGTCACAGGGCCAAAGCAACAGGGCCAAGCAACCATGTCATAATGATATCCACTACTCTGAATGTCAACTAAAAGTTCTTTAAATAGACCTTTGTAAATAGGAAGTTAGACGTGTTAATGAGGTTTAAGAGAACCTATCATGGTCAAAAGAATGCCCTAATCACACCCTGAATAACCTAAGAATACTCTAATCACACCCTGAATACCCCGTGATTTTCCTAAGAGGAAAATGGGCTTAGAGGTTGGAGAAAAGTCAGCGTTAACAGTTAGGGTGTCCCAGCATATGCCACAGACACTATATTGCATATTATGCGAATGTCGTATGCAGTATTTATGATAGACATACACAAGTAGCTACATATATAGTACAAAGCCATTCTTTATTCCTTGCTGTGGCTTTGGTACAAAGAGTAGGTCAGGTTGTACCCCATGGAACTACCCCAACTCTGACTGGGTCACCCTGGAATACTAAAATCCAAGCTGGTGGACAACGCCTGCTTTACTTATACCCCTTTCCAGGCCCAGATTTGAGCCTGGGCCCCTTCCCTAGTTCATGGCAAACAAACATCACACCAGAATGTGCCCCCAACTTTTGAGGAGGGGGCAAAAACTGCATCTGGGTAAAGGATAGCCCCTAGACCTCAGCTGCTCACAGTGCCACTGACCTTAAATGGCAAAAGCAAGGTCAGGTACTTAGGGCATCCCGGAGAAGTCCGCAGAGACAGAGGGAGAGAGAAAGCAAGAGGGCTGTGGCCCTTTTGAACTTGACGAGGGCAGTGAACCATAACTCATCTTTGGTGTCAGGGGACTCTCAACTGTCCCATAGTCATGTTCCCTAGTTTGAGTCTTTGGCTAACACTGTCATTTCTAGGAAGAACAGTGCAATGCTTGTGGTATGAAGATCTTTGTGTTTTCTATCTGGGGCTGGAGATACAGCCCAGGCCCTTGCCCACCCACAAACACCCCTCCCACTTCTTTGGGGCCCTCTAATTAGGAAAGGAAGCATGCTTGGCTTTGTACCAATGCTAATGTGCCTTAACCACCTCTTGACTTCCTTGCAAACTCCTTTCTCCACAGGAGCACCCAGGGGCCAAGCTATCTAGCTAGACTTAAATGATGCAGCTTCATTCCAAGGACTCATTTTTGTGGATATTTTACTATTTGTGATAATGGACATTGGGTTTCCATTTATGAAAGAAAAAAAAAGGTCCTCTAAAGTGCATTTTGATTCAACAGTGAGTTGGTAGGCAGCGAAGGAGAAAGAACATGCTTTTGCTATGGTTTTGCAAAGGTGTCAGAGACTACCAAAGCTTGGGGCACATCGTCTTAGCCCAAAACCTCTGCCTCAGGCTGGAGACATGGCTCAGTGACTAAGGGCATTGTCTGCTCTTCCAGAGGACTAGATTTAATTCCCAGCACCCACATGGCAGCTCATAACCGTCTATAACTCCAGTTCTTGGAGACTCTAATGCACTCTTCTGGCCTCTGCAGGCACCAGGCACATATATGGTGCATAGACACGCATGCAAACAACGTCTACACATAAAATAATAAATCAACAAACACCTCTGCCCCTTTCCCTGGAAGAGAAGCTAAGAAAGTCATGTTGCTAATGCCATAGAGAAGCGCACAGTCACTTCTTTAATGCCCGTGTCTCAGCCTGGACCTTATGCATAGGCTCGGGAATGCAGAATGGGCACTTCCTTTGTAGGCTTGAGAACATTATCTATGTTAAACCATTATTTAAAGGATGTGGAAGTCTTAAATGTCTTCCGTGATAGCAACTATAATGAGAATTGTTTTTTTAAAAAATAGCTTTACCAGCCTGGTCTACAGAGCAAGTGCCAGGATAGGTTCCAAAGCTACTCAGAGAAACCCTGTCTCAAAAAACAAAAACAAACAAACAAAATTGCTTTACCTTCAACTTCCTTGGCAATGAAAACCCCAGGTAAACCTGTGCTCTGGGGATGATGGTAGAATTTCCAGGCAAATTGCCTTCCTGGGCCCTCAGCCCATCCACGACCAAGTGCGCTTTTCCTCCACTTTGTCCAAACACCACCTTTGGGATGAAAAGAGTCAAGGTTTACCTCTGTTAACTAGTACCATATTTTAATAGTGGTCATAGGAAACTCTTTTTAAAAAAAAAAAGGTTTTCTACCCTTCAGTAGCTCTGTAAGGAGAGAAAGGTGTTTCCTTGTTTATTATTGTCACCATTGTTTTGTGAGATTATGTCAGATATTGAAGAGCTGGGATTAAAGCAGAGTTAAATAAAAAGCTGTTTGAAAGTGAATGGGTTGACAGATACAAGGGATGTAGAGATTTAAACAAAGGAGGAACAACCCAGGGCACAGGCTGCAACTGAGGGTCAGAACAGTTTGCACAGAGCTGAGGGCAGGACAAGTCAGGGCAAAGACATTCCTCCTGTATACTAAGTGGCAAGCATTCTCTTGGCTACAAGTTTGAATCTTTGTCTGCTCTCCCAGGGGTGGGGGGACTTTCACTGAAGACTAGAAATTCAAATGCCATTATCAGAGATCAAAATTGTCCCCAGACCCACCCCCCTTCTCTCCCTCTCTCTGTCTCTTCACCCCTGCACTGCCATGCCACTAGCCCAACTACTGGGCCAAATTATAGGAAGCAACATGGCTTCCTCCTTTGGGGTCACTCCACATGTAGCAACTGGACAACCAGACAGCCAGACAACCAGACAACCACCCCTCTTGCTCTTCTTTCAGCGTACATCCTAGACACCCACTGCTCTCCCTCCAGGGCCCTTCTAGATAAGACAACAGCATCTGTCTGCTTTCCCTACTTCTATTCTTGCTCCAGTCTAGTTCCTCAGCCACAGGGTCTTTGTAAAAGCCACTCTGTTCCTGTGTCTGTGCCTTACCAATTTAAGATGCTTCAAAAGCTTCAAGGACACTTGTAATGGATTCCAAAGCCCCAGCAGGATGTAGTGACACACACCTGTTACTTTCAGCCTCTTGGACTGATGCAGGAGGATCACAAGTTTTAGGTCAGTCTGGGTTACCTAGTAAGTTTCAGGACAGTGGGCTATATGGTGAGATCCTATCTCATGAATAAATAAAAATAGCCAGGCATGGAGGCACAGCTTGGTGACCCCAGATATCTGGAGGCATAAGCAACTGAGACCCTATAGCTTAATGATAGAGGGCTTACCTATGTTTATGAAGCCCAAGATTCAATGTTTAGCATAAATGCATACATACATATAGACAGCATTATCCTAAATCCTTAGTTTGACCTTCAAAGCTTAAGTTATCAGATCTCTGCCCACCCCATGCCTCCAGTCCTGCCCCTCATAATGCTGTGGTCTGTTCACTGAGTTAACCCCAGCTCCTGTCCCATGACTTCATATGGTGGTTGCCCCCCTTCCAGGGGCCTTTTTCTGAATACTTTAACTAAAATAATACCCCACTCTGACTTCCCTGTGGTCTAACCAGTCTAACATTTTTCCCCAAAACAAGTATTTGACATTACAGTCAGGATGTTTGTTTCTGTGCCCCATGAGAGCAGCCCCTTGAATACTGTTGAATATTAATGAGTAGAACTCATCAGGTCACTTAGGCTTTCTGATTAACAGTTCCATCATTACAAAAACATGGCTTCCGTTTAACTTTATAGTGCATGTTTTTAACTCAGGCTAGAGTTGGGATGCAAGGGATGCTTTCTGCTTGTGCTATGAGAAAGAATACCAGGTACAGAAAGAGAGGAGCTTGGAGGCCCAAGAACAGGTCCTGAGAAGTGGTCCAGTATACAGGGATGGGAAATAAGCTGGGGAGCCATGCAACCCAGGTAGTTGGGGGAAGGAACCACAGAAGTTATGGTTTAAGTCTACCTTGACATTCAGGCTGCCATCCACATGTGGTAGACGTGTGTATGACAGTCTTTGTGCTAGGATGCTGGACATCCAATGCTCTACTCACACAGACTCTCCCTGTACATATGCCAGGGCTTCTGGAAATAATTCTGGATTCTTCATTTTGGCTACTGCGACAGTAAATTCTCCACCAGCTGGAAGTACAGACTGGGGATCCCTTATCTGAAATACTTGGGACCATACGTGTTATAATCTGTTCTCTGCTTTTGGAATGTTCATATATACACATAATGAGATATCTTAGGATGGGATCAAGTCTAGACACAAAATTCACTTATGTTCAACATATAAATGTATATATTATATAAACAGAAAGAAATTAAATATATTTAGAATTTTGACTATAATCCCTTACAAGACGCTAGGCATGAAATTTTCTATTTGAGGTACTGTCTTTGCTGAAAATATTTGGGACATGGGACCATTTTGGGTTTTGGATTATTTCAAGATGCTCAACCCATTTTCACACAGTCCCAGCTCTCACCGTGTGCCACTTCCCGTCATGGTATCTCTCCTTGCTTCTGAGCCTCAGTTTCTTCCCTTCAGCCCCCAAAGCAAAGACGATGAGTCCTTCTGAGAGATAAAGAGCCATGAAGAAGTTCTTGGTTCCCGTGTAAAATACCAGCCCTTTGGAGGATGTTGTCTGTATGTCCACAGAAAATTGTGACCTGTTGATAAAGAGAGGGGACAAGAGCTTGGCATGCTGGCCTATAATCCCAGTTCTCAGGAGCAGGGGCAGGAGGATTACAAATCTGAAGTCAACCTAGGCTGCCTAGACATTTTCAGAAATACAGCAGTAAGATATTTTCATAAATAAATAAACAAATCAACAACAAAGAAAGAAAGAAATGTGCAACAGAGGGAAACAGGTGCCCTCAGCTCCCTGCACCACAGGAGAGGAGTAGGGGTGGGCTCACTCTCCAAAGACACAGAGACTTCCAGAAGCCAAGCAATACTAACTGTTAGGAGTTTTGTGGTACAGTTTCCTGACTGTGTTGGGGAATCGCACACATTTCCTACAGCAGGCTTAGCTAGTGGTATAAGTCCTAGCATGTGACAAGAAGGAACATGCTGGAAATTTAAAAATCAACGTTAAAATTATGGTAAAATTCACATGACCTAAAATTTTCCATCTTCACCATTTTTGAGTGCCCAGTTCATTAGGGTTGAGCCAATTTATAATGTTGTACAAAGCCATCTACATAGCTCCTCTTTGTGTGAAACACAAACTCTACCCTTTAACCAACAGCTCTATTCTTCATTTGCTTAGAGTCTGGCTACCACTCTTCTACTTCTGTCTCAAGAGACCTGACTGCTCTTGGTACCTCAAGCAAGTGGAACTACACACTATGTCTTTTTGTGCCTGGCCTAGCTCCCTCACTAATACAAACTGTTCAAACCCAATGAATATGCTTTTTATTTGTGTCTGTTTCTGGGGAGGGAGATGGCAGGAGGGCAGAGGCAGGTTAAACAATGAGGATAGACAAGGGCATCAGATAAGCACTTTCTTTGGGACATATTTAACATAAAGAACGGGATTATGGATTCACCTTCTCCTACTCTCCCCACTTCTCTGACCCCAGACCTCAACTGTCCTGGAAGAGGAATTATAAAATGTTATGTAGCCAAGAATTGAGAGCTAGTATTAATGTACATGATGGCTTCACATCATTTCCAAATCAAGCCAAGCAAACTATTTTATATAATTCCTACCCATCTGTCCCCCAATCAGGGAACGCCCCAGCAAACATTTCCTGAGGGTTCAATGTGTAGAAGGCACTGTGCTGGGCCCATATATCTATGGTTCATGGGACCACCAACAAGTTCATTTCGATACAGCACAAAAATGCAGTAGAGATGCAGGCGCCAATGAGATGTAGGTACCCACTCCCTGGGGTTTGTGTCTACTACCCGCTACCTGACGGAAACCGGGTTTATCTTGCTATTGTAGCTATATGGGCTGGTTCTACTACACAGTACACATTTAGCAAATAGTGACTAAATGAGTGAGGGAGGAGATGAATAATTCAGAAGTAGAATCTGGGTGTGGAAGACAACATTATACTGTTAATTCCTTGCTTTTCAACATTGTGCATCTGAGATGCGCATTTGTTCATCAGATGAACAGGTTTCCTAGAGGGTAACATTCTTCAGGATGAACAAGAACCCGTATTTGTTAAATGAAATTGCCCAGATGGCCCATAGCTCCATGTTTCTCCTGACGTGTCTGCTCGCCGGTGCCAACTTAGGAGAATACTGGAGGCACTCCAGAGTACACAGTACTTTGCATACGTGGGCTCAGTGATCGGACTTGACATTTGCTTTCCAGAACTATTTCTTAAGGCAGTCTTCTTGCAGAAAAGACTAACTAACATTTCAAAAAGGCAGAAGTACATTCCTATCCCAGCATATGGCAGAGCAGCTAGGAGTCCTCATTGCCAGAAGAAGCGGGGAAGATCAAGAGTGCACTTACATAGCCATTGCAGGGTTAAAGTGGTGGCACCAGCTTTGTGTGACAGTGTAAACACTGCTAGGATGCAAAGCAAAATGAGGGCAAAGCTCACACCAGAGCTGGCAACTTCCCTAAGACATGACTGCTAAAACATCTGGGACTGGAATAGCTTACTTTGCATATACTACTGTGACGTTAACCTTGACTCTCAGCTTGACAGGTTTTGGAG